ATTTCTGGAGAAAAAGGATTGACCTTGAGCTGGCTTGGAGCATACAGTAAATGGGATTATAAATTTGCTTCCCAGGATAATCCAAGTCTTGAAATAAAATCCAAATTTTATTTCAATTTTTTTGTATTATAATAAGGACTTAGCTATTTGTATTTGTGTAACACACACACACACACACACACAAATGGCTGTCTGTGTGTGTGTGTGTGTGTTTGTATGCACCAGCATAACTCTGGAATGCCTTGAGCAATTTCAACCAAACTTGGTACACAGATGACTTACTCTGGAAAAAAATATTGTGGGGGTAAGACACCCCAACACCTCTCGGGGGTGCATGCTTGTTAAGATACAGCCTGTTGTGCCTTAAAATGACTTCTACTGTACTGCCATAAAATGGCTCTACTGTACAGCGCAGTGGAGTTGTCATGGTAACAGCTTCACAGTACTCCGCAAGGGGACTTCTTCTGTGCGGGGGAAAATCCAACGTTAGAAACTATGTTTGGTCCGGACATTTGCCCCCTATAAATAAATACCCAGACAACTCTAGGTTATCAGCTAGTAGAACTATAAAATACATTTGCCTCAGGGGTAAACACGGTTGTGTGCATGGCTAGATGTGGCCTGCTGATGGTTTGTTTTCCTGCAGCATTGTGAGTTGAGTTGAGCTCATAATGATTATGTGGAGCCCAACTGTGCAGTTTTCTTGGCCCCAGTAATAATTGATTCCTTTCATGTTGTATTTTCAACTTCCCTGGAAGTCACCCAACCAAGTAGCGACTCTGCTTAGACCGGGTCAGCCAAATGTTGCTGCTTTACTAATGTTTGTGGAATAAATTACACTTAAATGCTCCTAAAGATCATATTTAGTGCTTAACCCTTGAAACCACCTTAGGCTACTGAAGAAATTCTCATTATGTGTCTGTGGTAAAACTATAAAGGGATAGAATTGGAATCAGTGCATTTAAGGAGAAGAGTGTCTCAGAAGAGATAATAGGACTTATGTGGAGAAATGCATTACAAGAGTGCCTTCCCCCCTCATCCCAAAGGAATGATTCCTTGAGATAGAGAGAGAAAAAACAGATGGAATTATAAAGAAGGCTACTCTTTTCATAATTATTCAAAATAATGAATAACAGCAACAAATTGCTAACCATAATATATAAAATCAGGGACTGTTAGGTGCAAAACATCAGCATCCCATGTGAAGTTTCAATTAAAGGGATTTATTTACTTATCATGCCTATGCCAAGACTCAGCTAATGGCTAGAACTATCTTGGTGTCAGATAAGAGTCAACAGAATTTAAGAAGAGTTGGACTCAGTCCGTTTGTGGCTACATAGGGATTCTAGGCTGATTTCTATTTTGACTCTTCTTCTCCTACAGGGACTTCCTGAACTCATCAGAGTTATGAAGAAAATGCGGCTGATTTTTTTAAAAACCATACTGTTCTAAAGAATGAGTCAGGCACTGCTTCTTTTTTTCCTCAAGGGCTAGGTAATAAATATATACACACACAATTTAGGAAGACTTAGGCTCAGCACTCAGTACTTCTGTTGTTCCAAACACTTGTACTAAGCCAAGCCAATTGCATCTTTTTGATTTATAGCTACTGGGGCAAACAGCTGTGAGTCACTTGTCATCTTTGTTTTTCATAAAGCTTCAGCAAATCTTAACGGATGTCTTCCAGGATATGGAAGTGCTCTTCTCCACTGCTGGCTGACTGCCTGTAAAAAGAACAAGAGAAAATTTGAGGAACAACAAGACAATAAATTGTGGGATATGGGGTTTACCTGGCTATGGCCCCAGAAAAAGGTTTATGTTGATTCCTTATCCTGAATATTTTGAGAACTTCTCCTATTAGGAAGTGACTGCATAACAATACATTATACATCCTTTTACTTTGATTTTTGAAGACACATAATAGACTATTAGTGGAGTGAAGCTGATCCTGTGGTGCCATATTTTTATTACAAAGTATTGGATAAAGGATGGACAGGGTTATCTCTTTTTAAAGCTACCTCATTTATTACGTTCATTTTGGTATTGCTGATTATAATATATAGAGGCATTTCCTAGCTGTTTCCTAGTGTAGCTTACTGTATCTTGTTTATACCATGGCTTTGTTGTTTTGACCTGCAATTATTCAGAAATATCCATGGATCATTTATTTATTTGTGGACAACAATTGAGAATGGGGTGGATTACCACTGGGGTGATTCTGACAGCTGCAGTAATTTTTGAGAACCTCTCTGAATTTACTCTGTGATATTGTACTATAATTGATCAAATAAAAATATTCATTGAACTTTTTTTTTGCCTGTGTTACTTCTTGATCTTTGGGATCTCTGGTCGGTCTTTCTCCTCTGCTTAGGACATGCTGTGTCATGTTTACCCTTGTTGGCTTCATATATTGCAAGATCATTATATAAAGATCTTTGCCTTTTCAAAATGTGTAATGTGTATTTATTCCCATTACATAATTCAAAATATGATTTAAGTTTGGAAGTTCTACTAATCACTTTCAAATATTTTGGAGATTGTTATTTTTTCTATTCCAAACATCATCAATAGCATTTTCTAGCATGTTATAGATTTCATTCCTTGTTTCTATCTCATAATTGAATTGCAATAAACAAACACACTTAAAAAAAAAAACCTAATCATTTGAAATAGAGATGGTAACTCCAGACAAGACCTAGTTCCCTTCTTTGCATGGAATGGAACTGAATTCCTTTGGCTGGCAATATCTCAGCTATCTCCAAGAGACAAAGGGAGCCCAAATCCAAGCATTGAGCATTGAAGCTACACTTAAAACAAGGAGTGGGAATGTCTTAGAAGGATGGGTAAGGTCCTAAGAGCCCCAGCTCAGGTTGTGTGGGAGTGACTTTTCTCTCAGTGGCAGAACATCTTGCTGGAGTTACCCAGAATTCTTCTCCGGAACAAGGAGTGGACCAGGATTGCTCACAAGTGCTCCATATAGTGACTCCCTGTGAGACCATAAGATAGGGTCTCTGGTGGGTTTAGATCTCTGGGAACTGGGATAAAGTCATTACTCCTAAGTCACAATGTGGTGTATTTAAAAGCAAACTGGGTTCACATACTTCCTTTCTTAACCACTTTAAGAAATTGCTAGTTAATGGCCTTTTGGATGCTAAGAACAATCAGAAGGGCAAGTTTCATGATAGCTGGGAAAGTGGTGTTGACTAGAAAATAAAAGATGCTAAGAGGGGACTATGAAAATTGAAAAGAAGGAACTAGAAAGAACTAAATATTATAATTAAAGCAGAAGAGACTCTTTAAAACAAGGCTTTTTAAAAAGCTTTAATTAAATATTATCCAGGTTTGAGGGAGAAAAGACTAGTGTTCAATAGAGCAATGAACAAAAGGACAAAACTCTTAATGGATAGAATTGTCTCCAGATGTTTGCAGTTATGAGTATATTGATCATTCTTTTTTGTATTGTGAGATCGATCTATCTATCTATCTATCTATCTATCTATCTATCTATCTATCTATCTATCTATCTATCTAT